TGCAAGATGGCAGAGAAAATAGGCTTACTCAGGCCATCCACCAAGCAAAGACCACATTTCAATTCATCTTCAAAGAAACTAATATGGCTTAATTCAAAATTCCCCGAAAATTAAATGGTTTAACATCTGTCAATTCATAATTTGAACATCAAAGTTTTACGATAACCTCTGCAGTTGCATGTAATCACCATACACGTGAACCGATTTGGGTATTCATATTGTGCAGATTAATCTCAAATGATGACATAATTGAAGCATCTTTTTTACTAAAAAGCAGAAAATCTCCCACTTTTTCATCTGACATTTTTAAGTAATATCTGTTCTGAGCTCCAATTTTTTGCCACGTCAAAGCTTAGGATTAATTTGCTATCATGTTCTGACCAATGAATTGCAAATTAGGAAATTTAATTACCTTTATCTAACCTCATTCTCATATTTGAATTTTAAGTACATTCTCTGCCAGATTTGTTTATTATTATTGGAAAAACTACAGGCAAGTCTTTCCTACACATTTGAACATGGATCTGTAATAGAAAAAATAATGTTGACAACTCTCATTCTACAACAGGAAGTGCACCTGATGCACCTCAGAAAACGTAGTTTAACCGTATCTGAATTTCTTCTACATAATTTGTTATGCTTTACTCTTCAGAAGAATTTTCAATCTATCATTCTGTAAATAAATGAACAGGTTTTTGCTCTGAGGCTATGGCAAATATTCATATAACTCTGTTGCATCACACATTTGTCTGAAGCCATCTGGCTGGGATTATGACTGACTGACGGAACTGAAGTCGTTTTGAAAGTAATATGGAATCAGGAGGGAAGAGGTGGAGTCGAGGAGTACAAGCACCCCATGTGTAGAGCCGACAGGACGGCATCGCATGGTCGGAAACCAACGATGATTTTCCAGGTGTAATGTACAGAAGTTCCTGCACCTCCCAGTCTTTTACATGCACATATAGTTCTCGTAAAAATACAGACAAATTGTAAAATTGATTAAATTTGTATCAGGTACATAAATGTTCATCATGCTTATTTATTGGATAAACTTCAACCTCTTAAAGTCTTGTCAAGGTTGGAGAGATGGAAGTGACTTAAAATGTTCATGAGCCAAAAAATAGCTTCCAGTATGCACTTAACTAGTTCCTGGGCAATACATCTCCTTTCAAGTGGGCTTGTGACAGACCTCGAGGCGATAATTGAGTTAATTTTACATTCCCGGCAGCAGAAGGCTATAGGATAACCCTGAACCTTTTTGTAATTGGATTTCAAAATTTGGGAAAAGTCAACTCAGCAAGGTCATTACGAAACCAACAAGATGAAAGCTGCTGTTATCTGTTTCCAATCTAAGTCATTACATAAAAAATCTGGAACTAAAAACTTAATGCTAAAACCTTGATATCTTTAAAATGAAATAAAATATGTTGAAAGTATTGGTAAAAAATATTCCATTCATCTGATTTTACCATTAGCTTTTTGTTTCGACACAACTTCAACTATAAATAAACCATTTCATCTTTGAAGGAACAAAAATGGATCCAATCTGACAACTAATTATATGCATGTTCCTGTTGTTCTTTAGGAATATTTCACCTTCGATCATTCATGACAGAGATAGAATACAAGAAATGATAAAAATCCAAAAACAACATCCACCTTTTTACAAGTTGCAGCAAAACCAACAAATTGGCGCCATACTTTCTACCACAAGACTCGGCACGATTATGATCATAAAATGTGTGGGTGCCCCTGTAAATCTCCCACATGGCCATGTTACGACACACACCTACAAATCTTGCTCTTCCCGTCATGGCCTGTCAAGCTGCACATGCACACACCAGGAGATGCACAACCATGCTTGTTGCTGTGAAATTAAGTCATGATATTCCAACACAAGTTACAGAGTAGGATCATAGGATAGTCGTCTGTCTGTCGTACATAAAATGGCCATATGTTGTATGTTTTTTTATATGAAAGTGTATTTTTTCCATACTAAATCAAAACAAACAGTTCTGTACATTCTAGTAGTATGTCTGTTCATCAGATCATCATAACAAAAACACCATTTCGCTTTTTATCTTTTGTAGCCAATTCAATATTTGGTTGTTTTACATATATGCATGACTTTCTTGCCAATAAACATCCAGTTTCTTTGAAAAAGTAGCCTTTCTAATTAGTTTGCAACTGAAATGATTTCAACAAACCCAACAGCCGCCTTACCTTGCCATACAAAATGATTCATAAACATATGATAAACAAACAAAAATGATCACCACATAAACTAGCAATGAGTGAGAAGGTTTTTGCTTTAGCACTATTTCAGGAATGGGTTTTGTACATTATTGCTTTAAAATACAGGTTACCCCACCACCTCATAAACTGTGACAGTTTGTGTTCCAACTTTACATGCTTTCAATTATAGGACACCCTGTGAACCTGATTATATATCATGTGCACGTAAAACATTACATGTAATGACTATGTAGTGGCCTAAATACTGGATAAACTTATGTCTGTCTGTACGCTTGTGAGCCTCAACAACCACCTTAAAGAACTATATGTTCCTTCAACCAAACATCATCTATCACATCAATAGTGCTAACCAACTTGTAAGCCACTGAGAGTGTTGCCTTCCTCCTTCTGTGTTGCCCACCTTCCTTCTCAAGTAAGATAAGGTCCATCATATTCAACTCATCATCCCCATCCCTTACACACCCAGACCACCACACGTCTTACAGAGGTCAACTCTCTTCTCATTCTTTATCTGCCATACCAAGACCCATACTCTCAGCCTTTCATTGAAATTCATCTGTACCTCTCATACCATCCCAGACCCGACCTGCCTCCATTTGTACCTCTAATATCATCCCAGATCAGACGTGTGTCCATCTGATCCATCTGTACCTCCCATCCCAGACCAGACCTTGATCCACCTGTACCTCCCATCACAGACCAGACCTTGATCCACCTGTACCTCCCATCCTAGACCCGACCTTGATCCACCTGTACCTCCCATATCAGACCCGACCTTGATCCATCTGTACCTCCCATCCCAGACCAGACCTTGATCCACCTGTACCTCCCATCCTAGACCCGACCTTGATCCACCTGTACCTCCCATCCCAGACCAGACCTTGATCCACCTGTACCTCCCATATCAGACCAGACCTTGATCCACCTGTACCTTCCATCCCAGACCAGACCTTGATCCATCTGTACCTCCCATCCCAGACCCGACCTTGATCCACCTGTACCTCCCATCCTAGATCCAACCTTGATCCACCTGTACCTCCCATCCTAGACCAGATCTTGATCCACCTGTACCTCCCATCCCAGACCAGATCTTGATCCACCTGTACCTCCCATCCCAGACCCGACCTTGATCCACCTGTACCTCCCATCCTAGACCAGACCTTGATCCATCTGTACCTCCCATCCTAGACCCGACCTTGATCCACCTGTACCTCCCATCTCAGACCCGACCTTGATCCACCTGTACCTCCCATCTCAGACCAGACCTTGATCCATCTGTACCTCCCATCCCAGACCAGACACGATCCACTTGTACCTCCTTTCCTTGACCCGACCTTGATGCATCTGTACCTCCGATTCAATCCCATGTCATACCCGACCTGCCTCCATCTTGATCCATCAGAACCTCCCTTTCCATCCCAGACAAGACCAGCCTCAATACTGATGCCTATACCTCCCTCCCATCCCAACCTGCCTCCGTCCTCAGCCTTATGTATCATCATGGGTCAAAAAACCTCCCCACCAATCCCACTTCCTCCCCATGTTCCAGGACATTACCCTTCAACCAAGCATTATGTAAACTAGTTGTGTACCAATTACCCTGGCACAATGTAACAGCATGTATCACACAGACAGTAAACACATCCGTGCTTCCACTCTTCATGCATCCATACTACCAGCATGCATGTCTTTGTGTGATGCACCACTGGAAGTCTTCAGCCTTAAACAACTGGCATTTATACGCTGTCATTGCTGCATAGTTCACAAATGTAAGTTTCAAAATGGAAAACAAACCCCAGAAAAAACGATCTTTTCCAAATGTAGAATGACACATTAAGAGAATTTCATATTCTGGAAGATATGTCATTTGTAAGTTTGTTTGAAACATGGAAGAGACGGGTGTGAAAAGAAATGTATCAAAATCTATTTGAAATGTGTTTTGACAAATATGGTGTCTTAATAATAGTCTGACAGGAAACAGGACACTCACAGAGCTCCAGATGGAGAAAGCAATAAACTCCTGATGCTTTGTTCTCTGGTGTGTAATGTCTGAATAAAGTGACTGGAGACATTGTTACACAAAGTTAGCTGTGTTTGATCTGACAGCCACACTTACATGTCACACGGAAACCAAAAAGTATGTTCAGTCAGAATGGAGAGACTTGTGAATTAAAAAAAAGCGATTTTATTGCATCACAAATACATGATGTCTGTCACGTGTAAGTTTGGGCTTCAACATCACTTGAACAATTTTTCCGAAGTATCATTTTGTGTCACCTGAAGTTTGGGGGACATCCTAAAAATGACACAGGTCATGGATGCTTCCCATTTGTTGAAATATTATGAGCACGTAGTCTATCATGCTGACAGATAAAGGACCATAACTGGGACTAATCTGGGATTCAAACCCATAACAATGAGGGGTATGGTGCTGACAGACCATGGACCATAACTGGGGCTAGTTTGGGATTCAAACCCACAACAATGAGGGGTATGGTGCTGACAGACCATGGACCATAACTGGGGCTAGTTTGGGATTCAATCCCACAACAATGAGGGGTATGGTGCTGACAGACCATGGACCATAATTGGGGCTAGTTTGGGATTCAATCCCACAACAATTAGGGGTATGGTGCTGACAGACCATGGACCATAACTGGGGCTAGTCTGGGAGGAAGTGTACTGACAGACATAGCACAGAAACGGTATAAGCTTCAAGGTCTATTCCAATGAATTGTACTCACCAAGCATAAGTCCCTTATCAACGTCGAACCTGGCGATGCCAATGGAGGGGTCAGTGTGGCTGTCATAGCGGTCAATGGTCACCTCCCAGTAGTGGATGCCCTTGGAGAAGCCAACTGTGCCTAGTGCCACCCGGTGGTCAAAGCTGTTGCAGGTGATACTGAGGTTGTTGTTGGTGAACATAATGTCCTGGTGGGTCGTTGTGTTGTCAAACGTGAACCAGGCCACTGAAACAGAATAATGATAAAGAAATAGCAGAGTGAGTGAGTGAAATGGGTTTCATGCTGCTTTTAGCAATATTTCAGTATCCCAGAAAGTGACAAGAAAATGCTTTAACCACTATACCACCCCACCATCCTGGTACACAGCAGAGGGAAAGGGAGTGAGTGAATGTTGTTTTACACCAAAGTGTTTTAAACCAACTATAAACCTGCAGGCTGTAAATGATTGTCTGGGGATCACACTGCCGACCTTCCACTATCTCCGGGATAAGGCTCTGTCCACTAGGCCATGGAGGCAGTCAAATTTTCCATAACGCATGATAAATAGATAGCAGAGATAAAGATGGAATAACAGTTGCAAGATATCTCCATATCAATTTCTACAACAGTGCACTGTACATTCAGATGCATTCTTACAACCAACTATCCTTCATAACCTTCATAGCTATGAAAAAAGATGTTTCAAGTCTTCACTGGTCTTAAACAGTTTCTTTTTGTGTCGCAGACATACACTCCCATTCTTCAATGAATATTTGAAACAGAAGTTCCTCAGCATAAACAATAACGGCAAGACACTGTAGCCAGTTTCTGTCAACAAGCATTTGCTCTTTGCCTCACTTCAACAAGCTGCGCTCTCTATTCACATTCAATTTCCAGCGAAAGGAAAATTTAAGGTTACATAAAATCCATGATTGATATGCCTTGAGCATGTATATGGCACACTTTGTGAGTTATATTCTTATGTTTCTTGCACTTACATACTTTATATGGCACATGACTAATTCAATCACATTCATTTCAAGCAGAAAGAAACTTTTTTAAATAAGAACATTTATGACTCTTTCATGCGGGGTTCAAATTCATTGTTGTCAGATGATGAGTGAAAGTTTTGTAGACGTAATAGCTTAAAATACATATGACATAATACTTGCATCAAAAACATCTTATGAAATTTCATAGAGTAGATCAAAGATTTTTGTTTTTTTCGTAATATGGGAAATAAATCACTAATTTTTTAGGATAAAAAATCCAAATTGTCTTTCAAACAATGTTGAAAACTCATTTAGAATTGAAACATCTCACTCGCATTCTCTTTTATTTACATCACAACATTTATTGTTTGGGAAACATATGGCTTTCCTGATGACTATATAAAACAGACCCCAGTCTCCTACTGGGTCCACCATAAAGAAAACATTTCTTTCAAACACTGTTGTTGACATCAAGAAAGCTGACAGAATTCACATCTACACTCCCAGCTAGACAGATTGAATCTTCAATCATAAACTGAGAATTAATTCCAAGGAATTATTTAGCCCAGTGAGCATATCTACAAAGACTGCCCAAGCATGTATCAACGAACTCAGTCATCCTCGTATCTAAACTATAACCGGTTATGTGGAAGATAGTTTGGTGAACTGGAAGTGGTTGCCAGGTGAATAACATTACAAGGATCTACACTCCTAGGAGTCATTAGGAAATTCTTATTTTACAATCCTGTTTATCAATAAAAAGTAGTTAATGCTTATATCAAATTACCCTACTTAAATACAAAGTTTTAAAGATTCTCTCCTATCCTATACAATATAGCCTGCCTTAAAAACACTGGTGGAAGAATGCTTCATGATGACCATAAAATAGAAATAATTTGTTAAATCAAATAGAGCAGCAGCATGAAACCAGCCATTAAAAAGTCTACAGTAAAAGAATCATGATTACCCTAGGTTCATAATGTTAATATTAGATTGATACTCCAGTGCAATTCGCAGAAACTGTCCCCATCTAGAAGGATCTTGTTTTGAACGGTCAGCAGGTCAGCAACTTGTGGAAAGTGGATATTCCAGAGTTCCTCACCCATTGCATACAAGTCAGTATCATGTAATTATAAACACACAAATCGTGTGCATACCCAATGAAGAGGAACAAAGTTTGCATCACAAACATATTGTATTCCCTTGAAAAATCTACAATCTGGTAAAAAATTACCAGTTTTCTAATGGAGCCTAAACACGAACAGAGCTATGCATTGATAGAGCTAAGGTTATTTGATTTTAATATACTTTTTGCAATTTTCAAAAAAGTATTGAGTTCTTGCAGGGGCAGCCAACAAGAGCCAGCAATGCAACTGCATAGCAAGAGTTAATTCCTGCTTTCATAGTCTGCCTCCATAGGCATTGTTTTCATTTCCTCCATGCCTCTCCAACAGGTCAATACACAGACCCCTAAGGTGGCGTCGCAAAACAAAAGCTTGCAAAAGATTTAACTCGATCAATGCAGCAACACAAACATGGCATAAAAAGTATTGAACCTTCAAAGTGTGGAGACTATGTAGATAAGCCTGGGTACAATGGTCTTACTGAGACACTCCGCAAGAGACATGGTGGTATATATGGCTTTATAGCAGCCAGAAAAACAATAAAAACTTTATATGAGCTTCCCTGCCTAGAAAGATGGGGTGGGCTAACTGTGAGGGGTAATATAGCCTAATTCACACCAGATGAAGTTTCCTGGGGAGGTGTAATATTGGCTTATATTGCCTGGGGTTGTATATTGATGAGGTCATACAAGATACAACTAGCTAGGACCACCGTGTTCACTCCCATTCCCTGTCAACAATACAACCAACGCACACTTTTGAAGACACGTGAATGAAATGAAAAAATTGTTCCTGACTTTTCTCAAGTATTGAAAAACCCCACAAGAATAACATTTTCGACAAAAAGTCTTATATTTCACAACTTCCAATAAATCATATCATGTTCAAAGTTTCCTAAACAATCACTATATCATATAACAATTACATTTTTTTCTCCTTTAAATGAATTATTTGCTTGAATTCATAATCTCTTTATCTGGGCTTGGTGTGTGTACGCGTGAATTTTGTACCTGATCTGTGTGAATATCGTTCACACGCCTTGAAGTTTAAATCTTTTGTTCAACAGATAAATAAAAAATGTGATGAAAATGTATGATCATGGTCTATGATGTCTCCAAGACCACAGATAACATTTTACTAATGATTTATGGGCCCCAAATAGCATCTAACCCCAATCAAATTACATTTATCAGTATTGATAATCTAAGTTTAACATATCTAGAGAACATCAGTTTTTTTAAACAAAAATATTTCTCTTCTACAAAGGTGTTAAAAGTTCGAAAAAGTACCTTATCACAATTTTTTTACAGGAGTGTTAAATCTATATCAAGATTGCAACCTAAAAAGAGATTTATCAAATGTCGCGTAAGTTTCTACAACTGTCAAGATGCCAAAAAATAATAGCATCACTGCATTTGATCCCTTGTGTATCAACCATCGCTTCACAAACACAAGGCTAAATGTTATCAATGGTTAAGGAACTGTAAGATTAATAATATGTTTTTCAAGTCTTTTGGCATATTTTTCCAACTGGCCTCTAAGAAGATGACAGTAAAAAATTTGAAACCTAGTCCACATATAGCTGAAATAATTTATACTAACTCTGAAGAGGTAACTCCAATGTTTTTTGTTGATATATGGTAAAGGGTAAAAGGCAGCTACCACGTGAATTCCTTAGAGCATGTTTAAAGCAAGTTCTTATGCACTAATATTTCAAACGAAGTGATGTAACAGTAACATAAAAAGAGATACACTTTGAAGACTAACGACACTATATGATATGAAATATGGTCGAGATATTTCAGTTTCACTAACTTCTTTAACGACTAGCCTAACAAGCTTGTTTTTTTTCTCTTTCTGAAAGGTTACGAGAACATTTATGTTGTTTGTTTCACTCTTATCCCTTAGAGACTAAAATGAGCTTTCTTATGTTCATTGGTTCAGGATCATTAAGCGTCAGTAGAAAAATGAATGCATTTACAAACTTCAAATGCGTGATGAGCAAAAGCAGCAGGCTGCCTCACTGTTAGAGAGTAGGGGTTTATGGGAAACCTAATGAAAGTTGTCTCCCTTTTTATTGTTTGCACAAGCACAGTAATAAATGTTAATGAAGAAACATAAGGATGGGAGTTGATGCATTTGGAGCAGGAATATTGCTAACATGGAAAGCAGTTGTTAGGGTACTCCAACATTACTGGCGGAACAGGATATGTCGTATTGGAAGGAAAACTGAACTCTTGAAGAATATTTATTAATGGGAGTGTCAGAATAATGGCAAAGGGACAATACTGAATAATGAATTTATTTGGCCATCACTAAACTGACATGTTCAGAGACACATAAACAAGGGGTAATTACGCCTTCCTCGTAGACCTGTAACAGAAGCAGGGGCTGATTGCTGTGTGCGACTGCCTCTTCCAATACACTTGTGTTGTAAATCCTTGTAATGTCGATTATTATTCTTAATCAAGCAAAACATATGGTCTTTGTTGTGGTATCTCACATCAGTTCCGCTACTGAGTTATGTTTAAACATGTAAAACCATGAATTTCCTGTATTTATTGCTTTGAAACTGCATGTTTGAATGTCGTAGAATACAATAATCAATTTTATTGTCATTAAATTGCTTCCCTTCAACTGCAATGTGTTGGATATGAAATTAACAGAACAGTGAGTGAGTGAGTGAGTTGGGTTTAATGCCTCTTTAAACAGTATCTTAGTCACATCACAAAGCGGAGAAGTGACGAAGGTGTACATCTTTGTTGACACCAGCAACCAAATAGTCTCGACAGACAGCTGATCATAATTCACATACTAAAAACACTGAATTACAATAAATGTATAGCAAAGATCGCTTTGTGGAATTTAGGGGCCCTGGATCATACTAGGTATATGTCTTGGATGTGAACACACATTGAGTGAGCCCTTGCATCACTTGACTTGAAAGTAAGAACCAACAGCCAGTTGATGGGACCAATATATGCGTCAGAGAAAACAAAAACAGAACCTCCATGTGTCACTGATCAAGCTGCTTTATCCAAAATGGCAAACTTTCAGACACACCATCTTTTAAGAAATGTTCAAGATAATTATAAAAAAAGTCAATAAATACTAAAACTGAAAACTGAAA